AGTACTTTTTTACATTTAAAGTATAGTAACAATATTGTTATGGATCTTATGTGCTTTCTTACATAAACTGTTACAGGATATAATTTCTTCAGAAAAATGCAATGTTAAAATTCTTTAGAATGACATTAATTATAGGACGACATTGACATTTGTACATACTTACTATAAATATTGGTATTTTGGTATACAAAAATATATGTCCTTGTGTGTTATAAAACAATAATAAAATAAAGAAAAAGAAAACAATTTGAAACAGAAGATATAACATACTAGATTTACTTTAAATTGTATTCTCTTCTCCTTCCTGTTAACTGAAAACTCAAAAGACGATTGTTTATATCCCTTTCTCGTTAAAACTATGAAATTTTAGTTTTCCTTTGAATAATTGATAACTTTCCGCTCTTTCTTGCTTTTTTTTGTTTATCCACTCTTGTACCCTATGTTGAAGTTCGTCGTTAGGCTTTACCATATCCATAGTGAGTGGAGATCGGTTAAATGGATCCGTTTGATCGCTTAGTAAGTGCCTAAATAAGATTAAAATTATGAAAAATTAAATGAACACAATATAATAAATAATAAATATATATTAACCTTGCAATTGTCTGACGATCGATAGTTATCTTGGAAGATGGTAAAATTACAGGATCCGTCATCAGAGTAGACATAATAGGATCCAGAAACTCTTCAGGAGCATCAATCAGTATTTCGTCCTCCTCTCTCTTATGACTTGCGGCTGCTTCAACATTTTTTGCGAATTCATCCAAATCACCTACTATACTCATACCTCCGATGAGAACTAAAATATTGTCAATAACGCGTTAAAGAACTTGCATACACCGTGTGATATAATATGCTATTTCGTCTATTTTTCACTAAATTGTTATTAAAATTAATTATATATCAATAGACGATGCTTACTGAGAACATTTTTGGCTAAGTTAAAAAGCTTTGGACTATATGATCGGCCATCTTGCGAAACAGCAAGTATAAAGGATTCAACTTGGCTAAGATTTATGTAGATTTTGCATATATTTAATACCAAATGTGCTGGATTAAATGCATATTCATTTTGATCATTTACCTAGAATCGAATCAATTTATTATATAAATTTTTCAGTTTTATAATACGTATACTTGATCACACTTCCTTTCTACCTTTAGATTTTTTTTATTTGGTCCAACCAATTGAAGCAATAGGTAATTAAGCATCGAAGCAATACGATCTACCATTGTTGGGTGACAAAAAATAGATTTTATCTTCGTCGTCAACATTTTTAACGTTTGTATTGTTTTTTTACCCAATATGTTGTCAAATCGAGCAATCATTCCAAGATGCAGTAAATATTGAGCTTGCTGATCTCGCTCATGTTGCGGTAATTTATTCCATTCTCCACTTTCCCTTTCAGTTAAAATTGATGTTGCATTACATAAATAGAGAAATTTTAAAAATCTCAATTGTCGATCAAATTCAAATTAACGTATACGTATACACAATGTATGTGCATGAAATTGTATACCTGGCTTGAAGTAATTGCCTCAACTGGGCCATATTTGAAAGCGCTTCGTCTAACAGAAATACCGCATCGTTCATCAAGAGATTTATAAAACGTAGAAATAACGGCGGTTGAGCTGCTTCCATATTGGCTTCCGCTTCTTCCGCCAAAGCACTATAAAACAAATATTTTATAAAAACTTTAAATATAATAACACAACATTAAAATTACAACATAAAAATTAACTGAACAAGTAAATATTGTAACATTCAATGTATCATATCTTTTTTATTATTGACTTACATAAAATTGTTACGATGTTCTGGAAGTTTCCACAAATATTCCATAACAACATACATTGGTCGCCGATAATTAAACTTTTGTTCGAATTGTACGCTTTGTCCAGTCATTTCAATGCTTACGAATACTTTAAGTAAATTGGCAACAATCTAAATTGTGAAATAGAAAGCTTCACAATAAGAAGAAATTTAAAACGTTTAGAAATAAATATTTACATGTTGCCTGTAGGGATGTCTAATAAATAATTGTTCCCTATGGAATGTCCCCAAATTCAGCGTTACAGGATTCATAGTTTCATCAGTCGTAGGTAAAAGAGCTTCTAAACCTTCTGCTAATCGGGCACGTAAATGAGGATTATATAATCGTTGCTGAGACTCCATCAACACTATGATCTAAAACAATACATCCAGTTATTGTACCGAACCGCATCCACTTTAGTATATATTATATAAACGTTTTTAACTTACCTCGGTTAACACTGGCATTAAAAAGGATGAGCCTTGTTCTTCGAAAACTTTTGGATTTAAACGGCGCAAAAAACATAAAAATCTAATAGTATTTTCCACCACAAATTCAGGAATGCATCTAAACATGTGTAGTATTTTATTAGAAACAAGATGACCGATACAATAAGAGAAAATGAAATCTCTGTAACTATACCTCAAAGTATCTGGAACAGTTTCTGGCAAAGGAAATGTTACAACTTTATATTCCTTTGGAGTATAATCAGATTGTTTACCTTCTCCACCAATATCATTATTTAAATATACCTGTACTAACCAAAATGCTGTTGTTGCATGGAATTTTGCTAAGAGTTTTAACATTTCTGGAGCTAATAGACTTGCTTTTAAGGATAAGTACCTAAAATGTAAGAAATTAATTAAAATAAAGTACAAAATACAAATTCCTATTATTTTCACAAAATTGAATTGTATAACTGCACGTACTTGGTCATTTCTTCCTCCATACGTTGTGTTATTAGTTCTAATACTTCGGAACTACCACCATTCAGGGCATCTACGTATACTCTTTGTATTCTGAACAAATCCTGATTTGTTCTATAATTTTACAAAACATTTGAGAGTTAATGATTTGACTACAGTTCTTGATTCAAGCTGAAAAAATTAATGTGCCAATAAATACGAACCTTAGAAGCTTATCTAATACTACTCTGTAACCAAGATCCAAAGCTCTATGAGTTAAAAAAAAACACTCAGTAGTAAAACTGAATGTACTTGCAACTGGTCTGGCTTCACCTTCCGATACCGGTATTAAACAAGTTTCCAAAGATAATCCTTTTAAATGTACAGTAGGATTTAAGCATTCATTCTCATTAGCCTAAAAAAATAAACAATATTTTAAACACCATGATATCTTGAGTTCAATAAATAATTGTTCTCTTAAAATTGACTCACTTCTGCTGCACAATACGTTGGATCTATTTTAGGCACTTTTGTTTCATATTCTTTAGTACAAAATGGTTGACAAAGGCGCAACAACACATTTCCTAAATTTAACATAAAGCCATCGGAAACACATAACATAGAATTCAGACTTATGTCATTTTGCGTGTTCCAAATTTTGCCCCTACTTGCATTTAAGCGAAGACAATTGCCTATCCATTCAAGAGTCAAATGACGAACTTCACCAGAACGTTTTAATAATAAGTGAAAAACTTTTTGTAAAGATTCGCTTAATGCATCCAAAGCAGTCCAAATGTTAGCTTCAATAGCTGCACTAGACTACAACGTAAAATATAAGATTAGTATTCATGTAGAGTCAACATTTGATTAAATTTTCAAATTTAGAATTACTTTTAACTTGACACTTGCCTGTTGTAATGACTTTTCAAAGAAATAAAATGGCTCTTGTGTCGTTTTCGGTAAACAGCTCAAACTAAAAAGAGCCCCTAATAATGTATCCGCGTAAGCTCTACCTTGATTACTCTTTGGAGTACTATGATGGATTATTAATTTAGCTAATGGTTCTATCGAAGAAAAGAGATTTAATATTGTAAACCAATATTGATGGAAGAAAACAAGATTACTCTGCATTGCTTCTTTGTGAATTATATCAAGAATAGGATTGAAAGATGTAGCAATCGTATCCATAGCATGTTCTTTGTTTTCTGTTTGCAATTCATTCACAATTCCATCTGTGAATGATACCAAGTCTGGTTTTGGCCCACCTTCATCCATACATAACATAATAAATTGATTGTGAATCTGAAAAATACAATAAAATTAAATTATATAAACTGGTTGCGTTTTGTGTATCTAAGTATAACATACCTCTTGTCCTTCGAACAAGTCTGGTTCTTGTAATGCAACTCCAGTATTTTGTAAAATAATTTGTTGCATTTTACAGACGGTATCATGAAGTTCTTCTTTGTTTTGATATTGTTGCAAACGACAATAACTCTGAAATAAATAAGATATTGCTTGTTTGTCTAGCGTATGAGGATCACAGGAAGTTCGCTGAGAATCTCCACCAAACACCAATTTTGATTCAAGGTCAGGAAGCATTAATCGTTCAAAAACTGCTTCTTCAATCGAATCAGCATCGATAAATATCAATTTATGATTATTGGTTCCATTTAATTCTGTCTCGTGTAACGTTATTCCGAATACGTCAGCGAGTAGATGGTTAACCTGGTTATCGATTTTAGAACCCTTTGAATCTTGAACATTTGTGGGTATTGTTCTATCGTGTACATTTATGTTTTCCAATTTTGTAACATAATTAACTCCACCATCTTCGTTGATAATAGTTTGATTTTGTGACGAAAATGACACAGCATCGTTAATAGTCGAAAACAATCCAGCGAATGGATTGTTGCTCACATTGTCGCACATTGTTCTCCCGTTAAAACTCAATCACTACTGGTACAAGCATAGTTAATCTAAAAATAAGCCCGTAAGATTTGTTCTTTAAGCTAGAAAATATTAAAGTAAAAGACTGAGTGTCCTCGGAATACTATTTCACTCTCCTTCGGTATGTTTCGTTTTGTTCCGCTTATACAGCGCCAACATGCAACCTATAGCATATATCATATATGTAGTACTTAAGTAGCAGAGATAATCTACACTTGAAAACAGACAATGTTGATAAATAACAAGGTGACGTCTGTCACTGACCATGAATATACACGCATGTATCTAGGTACTTAGGTACATAGTCAAATGAGTTCAAGCTAACCAAGTAGCAGAACGAAGGAAATTAACTATATCAAACTATTTATTATGTAATATAAGAAAAGTACTTTCAGTACCCTCTTTAAATTTTAATGTATTTTTACAGAATAGTAATGTGTCACAGAACACCCCTATATAATTGTATTTTCTATATTTTTAATTTTTTAATGCCTTCAAAACGCGTTTGATTATTATTATCGAGTAATACGTACTTCACAGTATTGTATAGAAATGAATTTATTGATATGAACAATAAAAAAAATTCATTCATGAATACATACTCGTGAGTATCGAATTCACGACTCGAAGCACATGAACCAGTAATTTAATCATTAATACTATGATAAATTAAATACAATATCTCTTAATTATAAATGGTTTTCACACCTCTAGAATTATAGAATAATCATGTTCAATATTTTATCTAAAATAACAAGGGCCTCTATGCTATTATTTTGCAAGAATACATTTAAAATGGTAAAGAGCGTTTTAGGTACTTCCTTTGTTAACGAATTCACCATTTATTCTGTACAAACTATTTTATAATAAAGTTCTTCTTTTAAGATGACAAGCGCAACTTATATGTAATGTAATACACATTTTGAAAGACATAACTTTAAATACGTAATAAAATTTATTAAAAATTCAGGCACAAAGTGAACTTGTTTACGCAATATAATTTTTACGCATATATGACATAATAAAATTAAAATAATCAAAGGCACTATTGTAATTTTACCGCCATGGTTTTCTTACAGTACCCGCACTTGTGCTCCTTTTAATATTTTGATCTGTAATTTAAAAGTATTCATTAAAAACATGTAAATAGTGAATAATAATAATAAAAAGTATGCATCCATTGACTTTTAATATAATACCCAGAACTGTGATTGTTAAATCTAATACAGAATCATGAACATAACTTACATAAAATGTTTGGAGAAAAAATTTTTTCTTTATCATCTGAGGTCCAAGTTTGGCATCTAGATCTAGACAAACATGAACGCGCAAAAGAAGATGGTTGATGTTCTTTCATCCTGGTAAAAAGAAAAAATAATAAATAAATCATATTGCTTCCTTTACCGTTTAATACGTTTTATACATCCGAACATTTAGTCGTGTAACTGTGAAAAACAAGATACGTGCAAACATTCACTGGTTGGTTCTTTTATTTTAGTAAGAATGAATATAAAAATTTCAAGCGCAAAGTATTCTTGCGCAAAGCGTACTGTAAATTGCATATAATAAATACTAACTTACCAAAAAATTGTAACAAATTTACTTAGTGCAACTAGTAACAACAAGTAACAAAATAATTTATTTTCTTTAAACAACATTCTACATGTAAAGTGTTCATTGAATCTTCGGTAAAAGTTAAAGTATATTATACTATGCAGAGTCATACTCCTTCAGTCTTTTCCTGGCTAAGGTCCGCTGAGTGGCAAACGAATACGATCTGGCTGATGTTGGACGTTCTATGCGAGATTGCTTGATTTCACGATCTTGCGCTATTACTTGCATCCTTTTCTTAGGACTTTGGGCAAATAACTCCACTACATTCATAGATGCTGCCTCACACTTTTAGAAATTATAAAATTTGTATAAATATTTTCTTGCTGAAAGTTTTCATTCTCAAGATGAACATTTTTTTTATTTATGAACGGCAATCAAATCAGAATTAAAAAATTCGTGCTTCAAAGTTACAAAGAACCCAATAAATCTATTCAAATGGAAACTATTTTCTTTATTCTATTCCATTAATCTACGCAAAACACTATATTACTATCACCGGAATAATTAATGAAACAAGAGTTCAACAAATAAATTACCGAATGTAAAATGAAAGTATAGAATTCAATTAAGATCTTAAACTCAAATATCACCTGTAGTTGAAGACGGTATAAGAAATTGAATTCTGATCGATTCAAAGGTGCATCGACGTGAAGCTTGAGCATGCAATGTAAAGCTTCTTTATATATATTTTTCAAAGCGATCACACGTTCCGTTCGCATCATTCTACGTACTAAATAGCCGCGCGTGTATCCATTGATCACATTTACAGCTTCAACCTATAATATTTTAAACTCTGTAAAACTTTTGCGGGCATTTAAAATGAAACTATTAATTTGAAGCCATGATTTCTCACATGTTTAGACCCATATATTGTCCTATCGAGAATCGGAACGTGAACAGTTTTACTATCTAACGGAAATAATTGTCTGCTAACGTTTAAACGTTTACACCCACCACCATCTTTTACCAATTTTTTCTCATAACTTTTATCTTTATCTGGTTGTACATTAACTTCCTCTTTTCCCACTGCTATTACAAAAGTATAATATTTAGAGCAGTGATTGTGACCCCTATGAACTCAATCAATTCAAAGTACTTACTAACACAAGATTCCGTAACAGGAAGACTATTTTTAGAACAGCTGTTGTCCACTGAATATGAAACTACTTTTTTATTATTGTCTTGTAAATGAATTATTTTGCTTTCATCTTGAAAATTACTTTTCACATTTTTCACATGTTCCATGTTATGATCAGTGTCTTTAGAAAGCTTATCATGATTAGGAGTAACTTGATTCAAAGGAGTCGATAAAATATTTTCGGGAAGCAGTGAAACTGAAATTTCTGGGAAAGATTTTCTAATCTCAGTTAATAAAAGTAGTTGTTGTTTTTCAAACTCTTCTTGGAGTAGAGTTTGTTCTTTTTGCTGTCGAAACACTAACTCTGCCATCTGTTTTTTATGCATTTCTTGTACTTTCTTGTAAACTGTTAGAAGTTTATCTGAAGTAATATTGAATTTTAACTTTGATGTCAAATCTTTAGTGTCTGCATTCCTTGAAATTTCTTCTGCACAACTATCACTGATAGGAACTTTGTTATGCTCGTTCTTCAAATTATTAGAAAACGATATATCGCTATTGGTTGCATTGTCCAAAAAGTTATCATGGTTATACGATACTTGAAAATTAGAAGAACTATTATACCTTTTCCAACATTGTAGATTTTGTTTTTTTTCACTATTCTTATCTATAGCACAATTTCTATCATTATTAATTTGTACATTACTTTTCTCTATGCTTTCATCAGCTAACATTGTTTGAATGCAGTCAACAGATTTTGTAGCTGGATATGTTGCATATATGGATGTAGGTATTGTTAATGAAGAAACTGATTTATGCATTTGTTGACTAGTTCTAGTATCAACGTTTGTCTCCTTATTTGAACACAATTCTAATGATTCTGTAGAAGCAAACTGTTTACCTGTGAATTCATTTTCCCATTCAATTTTAGCTTGTGTGATATTCCATTCTCTGCGATTTACTGTGTTCAAATATGGTGTTGCAACGTATTCCATACAAGGTTTAATAGTGGAGTTACACTGTTCCATTTGCATGTGCGCTAATAATATTGGACTTGGAGTATCTAGCACGTATGACCCTTGACGCACTAATTTGGGAGTATCTCCTATGTCATTTGAATGAGTCGTTTGGTATATTTCATCTTTAGGAACAGGATCGTTCAATGTCAATGGTATAATGTTCAAAGTTTTAGGCACTTGTGGTTTGCAAACATCTGGTGTTTCAATGGTATTAGATTTTGTTGAACTTATGTTTTGTGTACACTGATCTGCATTGGTCTTTGAAGATAGTAACTCTGATTTCAAACAAGTACCGGAGTCTAAATTAATCCGGTATTCTGACACATGATTGTTATTGACTTGTTCATTCCACTGTAAATTTTGTTTTATGCTTTCACTAGAACTTTCAGAAATGTCTGTTGAAAAACCATTAATATTTGTTTCATTTTTATTTTGATATTTTTTACAATCTGAAAGAAATAAATTTTCTTTTGAATTGCACATATTTGTTCTTCTGCCATTAAAATCTTTTTTAAATGTATCAGTGTCTATATCATTATTTTGTTCACGGGCATTGCGCAAATTTGCTAATCTTTTCTCTATACTTATTGCAATTTCCTTGTAGTTTGACATTTCTTTTTTGATATCCTTGGTCATCTAGAAATAAGAAGAGCTTATTAGAAGGAATATTATAATGTAAATTTTATTATAATGAAATATAATTAATGGGCATACCAATGGTGGTAAGATAGGAACTCCATTAATTTTTATACATGAAATATATGAATGACCTTCCATATTTCTAACTTTTTAAATAGACTGTTAACAGTGATATCAAATAAACACTTAGATAAAACAAATTAAATAAAATATACTTATTTGTCCTGATAATGATCCTTGTCTAAGGGGGATAGAAAATTAAATATTCTTTTATACACCGATCAGAAAAAGTTACATTAACAAACATACCGTTTGTTTTCACCAAGATACAAATAAGACTACTTAATCTGAAAAAAATTGGGCATAGCATTACAAACAATAATAGTACCTCTTATTCATATAGTTAAGTCAAATAAATTAATCATATACAAAAATTCACGAGACTTCCAAACATAACAACTACGCTACGTAAGAACTTTTAGAATGTTTTAATTTAATTAGATTTAATATACTTGATCAACTGTTCGTACAATAACAACTTGTACATGAACATCACTTACTTCCATTTTATATTTCATAATGATGTTATATTAGTTTGAAGATTCACAATTGATGACAGAATTTTTGTTGTGTTTATTGGGAAATGAACAAATTTGCACGTTTTTTATTTAATCTGGTATACTGGATAGAAGGTACTACATCGCCACAAATTGATATCCATGAATAGAAGTTATCACATTATTTTCATTATTCGTTTATCCTAAAAAATCAAAATTTCACATCAGTAGCTATCGAGATTAATTTCAAACAAATCCATGTAATATTTAAATTGCTAATACCAATGATTTAAAAAGTGGGGATATTAAAGCAATTCGTTTCAGTTATGTTGGCAGTTTGTTTATTAATGTCGCCTGGGTAGTGGAGATGAAATTATATACTAGATTAGAGGTGTCTAACTTAAGTAGATACTCCCCTCGTGCTAGTTACTCGAAAACATCTTTCCCCCACTACCTTTACTCAACAAACTGTCAGCGACCATAAACAAAGAATGTCGATGGAATTCAATTTCCATCCATCGGCCTGGTTCTCCATTCGCAGCAACCACCACGTGGAGAGACCTGGGCAACTACAGTTCGCTTCTTTCCATCTGAAACCCGCATTTAGCTAGAAATGTTAACGGCTTGTACTACGTGGCGCCACCAATCCAAGATAAGGAGGTGGGATTTTTAAAAATTATTTTCAAAATTATAAATCTATTTTAATCTTGAATGCGTAACAATTTTGTTAGAAATATTATAGTTTAAATAAAAATATATATTAAACTTCAATTTTATTTGTCAACATATCAATTATTAAAATAAAAACTGCATTGTCATGAAGTTCTAGTGAACAAATACTACTTCCATTTAAATGTACGCGCCTTCTACATTTATGCCGCTAATCATATGAAACATTCCTAGCAAAACTAAAGTAGCTTCGCACGTTAGAAGTTTGATGTAGTTTGATTTGATCATTATTTTCTTTGATGTAGTTTTCCTATTGACCGTTCTCTAGATGTAGGGAGCAGAGTAAAATCTCTGATTTTTTATATACGCGGTAATTCAGACATGTGACATCGAGTCTCAAAAGCTTGCAATGTCTATCCTATACCTCGTCTGTGGTAACACATAAGAACTTTACAAACATAAATACTTGAGTAAATAAGATCTACTTTTTATCTTTTTTTATAATGAACAAATATTTAAATTGTATGTTTTCGAATGTTCAATGCACGAATAAAAAGAGAGTACATAAACATTTATAATTCTTAATCAATTATTAAGCATAGAGTGTTTAATTTTCATAGATTTCAGATCGTTTAAACATGATTTTGGAAGTATACACAATTTTAGAATGCATTCAATTTTTTAAACTTACGTATCAAATCGATTTTGAAATCTAAATCATTTTTTTTATAGGTTGAGACAGAGCTCTCTATATTGGTAACACTGAGCGTATGTATATCCGATTTTCTGCATATGATGAGCAACGTCACCAACGAGTTTATGTGAAATTGTTGTGTTACATATTTTTCTATTTAAATATTAATTTCTAGGCGACAATTGCTTTGATGATTTTGATTTATTTAGATCAAAGGACTTAAAAAGCCTGTTCATCGAAAATGGGATCTTCCCACAGTATTGAAGTACCTGGAGGTGGCCCAGAAGGTTACCATGTACTCAGGGTAAAGAATACTTGTCAGAATATTTTAACCTGATTTACAAATTTAGTTTTAATTTTTATTAAAAAAACATTTTTGTGCTACACCAAATGACAATTTATTGTAATGAACTGCACGTTAATCAAAGTTTACGATAACTGTTAAATTATAATATGTACAATTGAAACATTTTATTTAATCTTTATAATCGAAATAGGTACAAGAAGGGTCTCCTGGACAGAAAGCTGGTCTTGAAGCATTCTTCGACTTCATTGTAGCTATTGGAAATACCCGATTGGTCTGTTTATTTATTGTTTTTGCATTTAATAAAAATCTTATGTATAAGGTGTGATACTTCAGTCCTTAGAGTGGACATACCAAAATTTCATTTGTTTAAAAACATATATTTATCATTAGATTAAAACACAAGGAATTTGTTAACTTTAAATCCACCTTTTATATAAATCATTAAGTAAACAGATTTTATTAGTGAACTATATATTTTTATTAATTATATGTTTCACAGAATCAGGACAATGATACCTTAAAGGAACTTCTTAAGAATGGCGTAGACAAAAAGTTAACACTAACAGTGTATAGTAGCAAAACACAAAGTGTAAGACAGACCGTTATAGTACCTAGTCTCACGTGGGGTGGGCAGGGTCTCCTTGGAGTTAGTATTAGATTTTGTTCCTTTGAAGGTTCTAACGAAAATGTTTGGCATGTTCTTGTAAGTATGTAACAAGCGTAATTATATTCTAGAAAAAGGAATAAAAATTACTGAGAATATAGAGTAACATTTGCATTAATACACACTCATACATATTATCTAGGAAGTACATCCATCTTCTCCTGCTGAAGTAGCAGGTTTACGACCATTTACTGATTACATTATTGGTGCTGATTCAGTTCTACATGAATCTGAGGATTTATTTACTTTGATAGAGGCGCATGAATCGCGTACTTTAAACTTGTATGTATATAACACAGAAGATGATTCTTGCAGAGAAGTTACAATTATACCTAATCATAATTGGGGTGGAGAGGGAAGGTATATATAAATGTTTCTTTGTTTATTATTTCAATTCATGCCTTATATCAATACGTTTTTATACTTTGTAGTTTGGGTTGTGGAATAGGATATGGATACCTACATAGAATACCAGTCAGGAGTGTGTTAAAACATAAATCCACTAACACATTCACTGTATGTAATATATTTTTTAAGTACCGCGTCGGCTATGATAAAATATTGAATGTTATTTTAAATTTATTTTAGGGCAATGTTAAGCCTGCCGTTTCAACTCAAGTAACAACTGCAACTACTACTCACACAGGAGGAAGTAATGTGGTAACAAGTATACCTCCAGGTTTTTCTATTCCACCTAATTACGTTCCATCGCAAGATACCATTACAAAAGCTCAACTTGAAGCCACTACATTAATGCGACCTATGTACACACCAAGTGTACAGACATACACTGCTCCACAAATAAATCCTGCTAATGTCGGCGAATCTATACCACATGTGATATCTAATCAAAGCACTATTAATGTTATGAGTGGTGAGTTATTTTTAGAACTACATTTGTTTGCTACTTACATTTATGGTTTCAAAAAAGTGTTCATGATAATTTATCTATATTCAGGTAGTAATACTGCATCCGAACCAAATACAGTGCCAAATATACCTGGTATGCCTACTACACCACCTTTACCAACATTCACCACTAATACAACAGTTTTTAATGAAACTAGCGCTGCAGTTGAGTTGCCCAAGGGTATGTATAGTCCAACGACTATACAGATCACGCCTCAGAATACTCCAACACCTGGAGTACAGTTTAATGTGCCTCAATCACATGTTGTGACAACACCAATTTCGTTACCTGGCATGCCACCCATTACTGTTAGTGCAAGTTTACCGCAGAATACACCTTTCTATACATCTGTTCTTCAACAAAATCAAATGACTGGCGTAAATACAATTCCCACGTCTACAGTAACACCAACACAGTAGTAATAGATTTATTTTTAACGAAAAAAACCTTTTCGTTTCCCAACAAAATGGATATTGATGAAGGAAAATAAAAGCGCAACTTATATGTTACAAAAATATTGTTGCTCTACTCTTGTGCGTTTATACTTTATTACTTGTCTAAACATTATATACACAAGTTCTTGGGTACACAAGGGAAAAATTATGTAATTCTGTACATAGTTAAAATAATCACTAAAACTAGGATTAAATTAAAAGCATTTACAAAACAGAAGTATTAAATTTTGTTTAGCTTTTAACATTTTTCATTGTGCATGTTTGTAAGTACTTCCCTTATCTTTTTAATTATGTACCAAGGTAATATATATTTATGTAATAATATATGTTCAATTTACATTGCTGTATCATTATAGAAATTTGTTATTAAGTATAGTTTGTACAATTTGTATACAATATGATTGTACAATAACAATGTAAACCATTTATGTATTATTTGAACAACTAATATCAATAAATTTTAAAACTTTTAAAGATTACGCTTGTAAAGTAATTTATCTACAGGAAATGTATTTCTTTTCACAGTATTGTAATTGCAATAGACTGTTTTCGAGAAACATAAAACTCAAAAGCTATTGCTTTTAAGAAAAAGCATTTATTGTATATTGTACACATTGATACAAGATGTTACATTTTTTTACAAATACATACAATTTACTAATATACAAGATCAGACTGTTTAAACTTGTAAACATATCATTTTAAAAAAGATTTAAATAATTAGTTCTACATCTGACAATTCCTCCTCACTAGGAAGAACAACTTTGGATGGATCTATAAGGTTTGGATCTACCAAAGGCAAACCATTTTCTTCTCTATAACGAAGCTGCAAATATGCTTCTCGTTTTGCCCAATCGTGCAATTGTGGATCTGGCCAATATACTGTGACAACTGATAATGTGACGAAAAGTACAGATACAAGTACAAACATCGTTTGGTGCATACGTATTCGATCCTCGAACTTATCTTCATAGTGGAATCCATAACTGACCCAAGGCTTTTTTTCATACGGTACGTCCGTTGTATTTGTAGCTTTGGTGGGCATTGATGACATGAGACGTCGCGTTGTATCATGCACTTTCAAAACTTTTGGTTTACCTAAGAAGGTGAATACCTCCTTGATTCCCCGAGAACGAATTCCTCGAAGTAACATTAACATCTTTCAAAGTGGATGTCTTCTCAAATATATATAGAAATTGTTAATCTGAAAATACACAATTCGTTAATTCTTACAGGGCATTAATGTACTGTAATAATTACAAAAACCAAAATTAAATACCTACGAACCTACTTCCGCCTAGAGTACATAACTCTTAAGGTTAGACGACTATGCGCAAAAGAGAAGTCGCAGATTGTACTACGTTTACGAAAAGAACGTGTGAGGGCGCAGCAATTTCAAATTGGAATCGTCAAATGATTTGAAATTACATGTATATATTAAAATTAATAAATGTTCCATTTATTTTCGTTCTCGTTTATTTTTGTCAAAACTAGATAATTATAAATATATATGTATATTTTACATATATGTATATTTTTGATAAAAATATATTTATTTCCATATAAAAAAATACATCATAGAAATATGAAACGTATTTTACATTATGTCTGTTTAGTTTGCATTACATTTTCCTTATTATCAGAATCTTTATTTTCCGCATGTAGTGTGGACTGGATTATTTCGTGCCATAAAAGGTCAACTAAATTATGAATTTCGTTTTTGTAACAAAAGTGATGAATATAATCCACTTTATTTGATACATCTGATATCATGATTAAGGATAACTATTCTCCAAGATATCTAATGTTCTATAACTAAAAAAACTAAAAACAAATAAGTTAAATAATAATCACTCAATTATAAGGATACATCCTTTAGCATTTTCTGTAAGGTTTTCATAATCCCATCGTATTCTAGTTAATTCCTTATATAAATTATATTTTTTCCTGTAAGAAATTAATGATGAATTTTTAAGAAAAGGAATATTTATAATACAAACAAGAGCAAATTATTGTACAAACCTTCCTTGATCCAACAGTTCTTGGTCACGCAAATTTCGCTTACGGGCCTTCAGTTTATTTCTCTCTAACTCTAATGAATGATTCTCATCCAAAAATTTGTTCTTTTCAGCTTCTAATTCTGCCTATACAAGTAATGCACTTTTTTATATTTGTGAAAAAGGAACAATTATATTGAACATAAAAATAATTACTATGCAATCTAAATGCTTTGACAAGGTATGCTCCTTGTACTCTGATATTTGTTTCTCGGATTGGAGGTTCTCCTTCATGGAGGTTATTTTTAACATTAATTCCTGAATCTTGATTTCATCTTCTACAAAGCAGCAAAGCACTTTTATTTATTTATAAAACATAAAAACGACAGTATCTACTAATACAATAAGTTAATTACCGTTACAGTGTTGATCCTGTTTAGTTTTAACATTATCTATTGACATTATTTTTTGTTGTAGCATTTCTTTCATCTGCGCATCTGTAACTTTAACATGTTTGTTCTTTAAGGTCATTATACTATCCATTGTTATTCTTTTTTAACAGTATTTTTAATGAAGTCTTCAGTACAACTTCGTAAACACAAATTTCATCGTTAGTTAACCAGCCGGTGATCTTTCTTAGGATTTAAATAATTACTATGCACTGTTGCCAACAGTCAAGTCAACGAATATAAGTAACTTGTACTGTCTATAATCCGCGAATAACTTTGAACAAGTTAAAATTAACTAATGTTACATAATTCTAATTCTAATTATTTATATCCTTCTTTAAAACACATGAATATTAATGATTAAAGTATCAATCGATGTTGGTATATAAGAAAACAAGAAAAGTAAAGGGAAATGAAAATGAAATCTGTAAATGATGAAGTGCAAAATAAATTTAACAAAGCACGCATGCATTTATTAAATGTAGTCGCATTCTTTAATTAAAAATATATTGAAGTCTGAGAAAATAGGTTACATACCATTTTATAATGCATAAAAAATACATTTTTTTATTCAATTCATGTATTTTATAATAGTTTTATAACATTATTATTACAAGTATTTTAACAGAGATCATATTTATAATCACATGCACTTTACCTTTGAAAGGCAAACATTGAACAGTCGTGTACAGAGCGGATGTCGAGTAAGGTGTGATATTAATCACTGATATGTTACCAAAATGTTTATTATAATGGTATATAAGTATAAAATATTATAAACTGTGATTTTACGTAGATACGATATTATACGTGTAATAAACATAATGCAGATGCAATATGCACCTACTTCGAAGATTCCAAGAGTAGATAATAACTTAACCTAATGTCTAATGCATTTTTCAAACATAATTCAATAATAGTTACTCAGTAAAGTATAAATCACCATATTTTATGACTTATTATATATAAATATTTAATACATAAAAAAATGATATTGATCATTCTTCAATATCAAGAGATACTTTCCTCAGCAACAGTTATCAAACACGTTAAGAATGAATGTCAGTACTGAAAGAATTCTCTGTTAAACATAAAGTGTACGACCATGTGTTTATATTATCAATAATAATTATAATAACCTATGATACTTAATATTTAGAACATACACAAATTTGTACAGCATACAAATCAGAACTGTTTAAATACAGAGAATTCCACTGGAAATTTGTTTGAAATATTTGAATGAATGCAGGATAGTTATTCTATTTTAAATTAATTTAAAAAACTCTTAACAATGTGCTTTGCAACTTGTGAGGACTAGAATCTTCATAACTTGTCATTTTGATTTTTTCATCTTCTATAAATGAATTCTTTCTTTGAAATATTAAAATTTAAATAAAAACAAACTAGAATGATTGAAAAAATATTCAATCTTTTTACTTTTCCGTACAATTATTAAAATAGTGGTTTAGTCGATAATTTCAGTTCACTTTTTCAAAATTAGTTATCTGTATGATAAAATATTAAATTGTGGTATTTCTATCTTATAGAAGATTAACAGTCACGATTTCTCACATTTACATTGTTCAAATTTACATTTACATGAGCAATCAATATATTCGAAGCTCGTGTTCGTTCTGTACCATCTTGAGTATTGTTTGATGATGATGCTGAAGCATTACTATTAGTACTATTGTTGTTATTATTTGTATTATCATCCCCAGCTGTATTAGAAGATGAGGAGTTGTTCCTTTCAATAATGGCCGCATTGGTACTATTATCCATTTGTTCTATTCCATATTCAGATACATTTCGAATTACTACTTCTTGTGTTAACTGCCTATAAATATTGAAATTATTGTGATTTATATGTTAAGATGAGTGATATTGATGAAGACAAAGGAAATCATGTGTACGGAATTACATGTTTTCTAAATTTAAATAGTTTGACCACAGTAACATACAAATGCCACAAAAAAGCATGCTAATAAAGTTGTCTTAATTTGCTTAAAATTCCATTATAAATTATTTATAATTATTTTGATTAATTACTTGTTGAAATACATTTTATAATAAGAGAATAATTTACTTACTCTGGAGTCCATGTACTGGGATTATTATTAGCTGGCGGTGTTTCAAATGTGGAATGTAATTGTTCCAGTACATTCACTTCATCATGATTATTATTTAAATTATATTCGTAATTAGGGTTAGATTTCACCCAATTTGGTTGGTTGTATGCAGTTGCAGATACCAGTTTATTTTTATCTTTTAAATTCTTATTGTTGTTGGATAACACATACGATACACCCTTTTTATGATCAATGAAAGGACCTGCAAAATACATGTATACGTAAAAAAAACATGTTAGACATTATATGACCACTGTTGATGTAACAGACATAACTCTATGTTACTCATTACCGCGTTTCAAACAGCTTGCACTTAATTCACCGTTCAAGTAGGTAGGTATACTGTAATAAAATAATTGTGTTCTTCATATGTATATATATTTTAAAAAAAATTAACTGTTCTACTTTACGGTTAGTAATACAAATAAATACAAGAAAATGTGAAGAAACAAACAATTATGATAGACGAAACAAACTACAGTGCAGATAGCTTTAATTTATGCATTGCTGTTGATTTAACGGAAATTATCTTATTTTGCATTTTAAAAAAAGTACCTTTTACATTCTACCTGTACATAAGTGCTCCACTAAATGAGGAAGGTTGTGCAATATAATTATGAAGAACGTGTAAAACACTATTTAATAAATACTCACTGAATTCCGGTGGTGGTGCACTTGGTTCCATAGCACAAATATCACTACAAACTTCAAGGTTATTCTTCTTACGTTTTTTTCCTGCAATATATTACATTTATATTATTTCATTTATATATTACATATCATACAATACATATCATACAATACATATTATCCTATAATATTTTTACATACGTGTTTTGAAGATTATTACACCAATTATAACCAGTAAAAGAATTGATCCAACTACTGTAATTATGATCCACGTTTGATTGAATCTGCCAATTTCTGTTGAAATAAAACAAAGAAAAAAAACTTCATTATAAAAATATAAATATGCACAAATAAAAAGAAAGCAATCCACTTGTCACCATATTTCAATTATTTACACGACAGAGTATTTTATTAACAGGATACACCACACTAATTGAAATAGGAAACTATCTGTCCCATACTCAGAAGATTTTACAAAATATACAGTAATAAAGAGTACATTAATAATCTTTATTTCTACTTTACTTACCTGGAATATTTTCATTTGCTTTCCTGCACAATGCAGCCGGCTCTCCAGTTCCAAGTTCTTCACTAACATAACTGAAAGAAATAACCGAATTATTGCCAAGAACTAACCTCTTTCGTATCTTAGACATGAATATGTTAAAAGGTAATACAGTATAGTGTTAATCAAACGCTTAATTACTTTGGAAGGCACGGCCCACACTGTGAAGAATGTCTAGAAGGCTTTCGACCTTCCTGACGATTATATCTTTTGCAAACTGTGTAATTTACACATTGTTTTGAAACGCCATAACAGTACTGTTCTTTAGTACAATCAAAGTCGTCACGGCACCCCTCTTCCATCGTTGCCTATTAAAAAAAAGTGGTTTTTTAAAAATATATTTAAGCAATGTGTATTGTAATTAAATAACAACAAGAGGAGTTAAATTATTACATTAAAAGCAAAACTTTATGCTTCATTAGTGTTAGAACAATTGTAATATTAATATGCGCAGTATTTCCGATGTAAGTCTCAAACTCAAAATGGTTTTTCACATTTTGTATAATTTGAATTGAAGACCAATAATTTAATTCTATAGACGCAAACGTTTTGGCACATCTGTCATTAAATTGTAAATTTAAATTATTTCTTTTCCAATAGCAAACAGTAACACGAATAACACGAAATTATTAAAACATTTTGCTATTTCTAATCAAACACCAACAATAATAATGCTTCTTTTTAGTTTTATAATGAGTAATGATAATAATAGTAATAGTAATAATAATAATAGTAATACTTTTGTATTTTACTTAATCATCAAGAATATATGATTTTGTACATTTATTCAGAGTATTCACCATTTAATGATAAAACTTTATATTACGCGCACTAAAAAATAAATATCACAATATTAATTTTCCTAAGTGATCTCGAACAAGAGACTTCAATGTAAGCAACAATGTACGCAATTGAAAAAATAGGTGACACTACTGCCTGATATAACCATTTTTAATAATATTATTTATGTTATATCGCTTATTATTAATTTTTAAATACATTCGAGTCTTACATCGAAAAACACATAATTACTTGTAAACAATTAAATTCTTTATACTTTCATGACCGTTTTTCATCTTCGAAATATTGAGTAAATATATAAATTTATAATATTTTAGATTAATTGATAAAACTACGATGCAATGACTACGCGTATATCAGTATCTCGAACGACCGCCATTTTGTGGACGGTAAACCATCAGCCATTTCAGTAAGGGTTCCTCTGCGTATCACAAAATGGTTGTAGATTACAATCAAAAGACCCCAAAAGTTCAATGACCACCACTCACACTAATTTCCAAGATATATTCAAAAATATGTCAAATCATTATTCAATTATAACGGGAATCATTTCTTATCTGTTCGACGCGAGTTCTTAAATCGTGTACTTGAAAGATACACCGATTTTATCTTCATAGCAACAGAACACACGACATGCATCTTCACATCAAAATGATGAAACTGTTGCAAAAAAGAATTGATTTTATCAATCTGCGCGTCTCGTTTTGAAATCTCAGTATCTAAATTCTACATTAACGTAGAATAACGATATCTTCCGATCGCGCGTGACAAAATGGTACAATATAAACAAAAATATTAAAATGAGGAACGAACACATGGTCCCTATCTGTCACCTTGTATCTAAGCAACAATGCTTTGTCTCGCTGTACAATAACACGAACGCCGAAAATTTCTAGAACGAATAAAGAGATAATAAAAAGAGAGCTCTGAAAACCAATGATCGCGATTAGTCTCGATTTTCTGACAAAATCTGTTCCGCGAGACGCGTGTTGGAGATTCCTGGTACGTTTGCTATGAGTCATCATCGCAGCGCGCCGCATTATACCGGTGTTGCGGAGCCGTATATTCCGGTTCAAGCAATAAGAGCACGATACAATTTTTCTTAAAACAGAGTATTCAATGATTTCAATACTTTAGGAAGTTTCAACAATTTCAACAATTTAATATTAAAAAAAAAACAGTTCCGTACGTTATCAGCGATCATCGTGCTGATAACCAGGATGAAAAGACACTTCACCGCATTCACATGAATGCATATTAAACGAAACTTTGTTAAAGTTAATTTCGGAAGAAAACAAATGTTCGTTTAGAAGTTTTTAACGGATGATGAAATCCCGATGGAAGGGTGGAGGAGAGGGGGTGAGAGAAAGATCGAGATCCTCTACTCCACGGATCGAACAGAAATTGTATTTTTCCCTTCCAAATTGGTGTCATGATTGAAACGCACGCCATACATGATACTTTTGCGCGTTCAATGACATTAGTTCATTTCGTGACATACTTGTCCCTCGGAACTCTCAATATTGTTGTCATCCCAATGTGCGGTCAGAAATAGGCGCACACTCGCGTACACGCTGATAGACGAATTATCGCGGTTTCGTTTTAATGAAGCATTCGAAAATGATCGTTTGGATTTAGCGAAAATTTCAATGAGCAAAAAATTAACGTGGAGATAAAACATTCGATTGTGCATGCAATATCAGTAAGAAACTCTGTCATTGTACTCACCGATGGGATCAGTATGATTATAAAACAGAACTCAAATAACATTTTAAACTTGATATTGTATAAGCAGAAGAATATCGTTCGTACTATTGTGACATTCGAACACACTCTTTTTCACAACAAAGTTGTTGCAATCTTCGTTCACGTCCTCGTCGAGCGGTGGTTCATTCCACACTGGAGCGTGTTTGAACCTGTCGCGGAGACAGGTGGTAGGAGAGGGGGTGATGACAGTGGTGGGAGGTTAGTGTGGTGGCTGTTGACAGTCGTCTAGCCGCGCAATTGTCAGCTTCTACGAATTCGTAGATAAAAATTATTTATTGAAACTAGAACAATTAGACTGAATAAAATGACTCATTGTTGTTTCAACTTGATTGTTTCTTTTCTCATTACTGATACCTCTTCGAGAAATGATTCGAGTAGCCGATTGAATAATATCAGCTTTTTATGAAGTCTTCTTACAAAGACGGTTCAAGTTCTCGGTAGTTCTAGTGTTAATACTCTTTCGAAGATTTTTCTATTTCTATGGCCAACATACGATTAAAAATTGATGAACCTACCTTCACTCTATACTTATGGTATACCTTCAGTATCGCCAATCCTTTGTTCTTCCTGTAATAACAAAAATACGACGGGGAACGAAATGCGTGAGGATTTCTACCTGTTGATAGTATTTATTTAAATAAATCATTACATTCATTTGCGGACAGTAATGATTTTAATGAGCTGCAAAAATAGGAAAAAAGGAAATTCAGTTCTACGAGAGTTAGCGTGAGAATTTCAAAAAAATTAAAGCTATGTAGAATTACATGCGTAATAATGTGGCTTTAAAATTGAATCATAAATTTGATTGTTCATCCAAGTCATTTGGCATCGCAATGAAGATGAATACTATAGCATTCACGTCCGCGAACGTGTTAGTGGTAATTAAAAATAATATTATTTAATTAATAATTATTTATTTTGTTAAGGAAAGGAATGAAATTTGAAGGAATATTTGTCCACGTATTTTTTTAATTGTGAAATCAATTTAAAAGAATTATATATTTCAAGCAGTGAACGATGCATAATGAAAAGTTTGTTTATGTACTTTATATACGCATATATAGATAAGTCTTCCGTACACCGATATCAACATACTTTGATACTGTAATTGATAGCCGCTGACCGCACGCGTGAAGTTTCAACAAGAACTCTAATGTCATCAAAATTACCGAATGCATCAAAGGATGCCTTTATCTTGAAGGATGATCCTACCTCCCACGTATCGATATTATGATGTTATATATAGTTATGGTTTTGCCTGTTATCTTACACCCTTTCTACTTCTCATCGCCGCCTTTATGTTCTCATTATTGAATCAGTTAACGCCTGACAACGGAGAAGGTCACCGATGACTAATATTCAAATTTCTTATGGTGATCATGGAGTTTCTCGTTGTCCAGTAGTTTACCTGTAGTTTATGTAATTAAAAAATATTGTACTCTTGTAGACGTAACATATGTATGTACTTACATGTGTCATGGAATAAGATTTTGTCACCTTCTTTTATGAGAAGAAATGATAGAATATTTATATAGAATTATTTGGGGGTAAACATTTAAAAACGGTATTTAATGAAGTAAAAAACATAATGTGTATTTCTCGTTTTAGTATATATGTACATACACTGATGAAATGTGAACAGCCTTATTTCTATTAATTTACCATACAATAATAAGCCATATCATAATACTTAAAGTATTAAACACAAAATTTCAAATATTTCTAGAATATCATAATACAAACGATTTTTTTGTTTAAATTACGCCTATTAAGAGTTAATACCTAAATGTTCTTTTTATTGTAACAATAACCTTGGAACAAAAAATCTTTAATTCATAGTACATGTTACACTATCTTTATCTTATTTTCTTTCCTTTTTTTCCTTTTTTTCAAAAA